TAGGGACAATATGAAATGTAGTCTCAAAGAGGGAATCAAAACTGACCCACACTCAGAAACTATTTGGATAGAATTAAACGAAAAAGATAATAATATTATAATAGGAGTTATATATAGGCCACCAAATTTAGACAGAATGGAAGCAAAGCACCTATGGGATGAAATATCTAGAGCATCTAGATCTAACAGTATTTATGTCATGGATGACTTTAATTTTAGCGGAATAAACTGGTTAAACAAAACAGGGAATAGTGAAGCAGAAGATTTTCTAGAATTAATTGACGATTGCTTTCTTACGCAACACATTAAGGAACCAACACGGGAAAATAATATTTAGGATTTAGTGTTAACTAACAGGGAAACACAAATTAATGACATCGAAATAGGGAGTGAGCTAGGGAACAGTGATCACAAAGTAATCAGATTTAGCATAGAATGGAATAGAACTGTAGGAAAAAATTCTGGTAAAGTGCCAGATTTTCAAAAAGCTGACTTTAATAGCCAAAGAATTTTTTGGGGTCAAATAGATTGGAAAGTCTTGGGTATGGGGTATGGGCCGGTCTTGGAGCGAGACATGAACCCAGCGATAGGTGACGTAAAAGGGGATTTCGATGTGGATTCAATATATAACTCATTTAAGAATATTCTAAACAAAGCACAGGAACGTAGTATACCATACAAATTGAATAGATCGAATACTAATGACCCAAAGTGGATAACAAAGAATTTAAAGAACCTTATAGGTAAAAAGAGAGCTTGGTACAAAAGGATTAGCAATGGGGAAGTCAGTTTAAAACAGGAATTCATACAACTGGTTAGAAATGTTAAAAAAGAGATTAGGAAAGCAAAAAGAAACTATGAAGTTCGCATAGCAGAGCAAGCAAAGTCAAATCCTAAAGGGTTTTTTCAGTTATATCGAACGAAGACTAGGGAAAGGATAGGTCCATTAAAATCTGAGACAGGTCAAATAACGGATAGTGACAAGGAGATGTGTAGTATTTTTAACAAATATTTTATATCTGTATTTACTAAAGAAGAACTTAACAATATGCCTTCAGCCGAACAAGTCTATGTGGGTGGGGATGAGGACAGGTTGACTAGTTTAGTAGTTACCAGGGAGGATGTAATTAAACAATTAGTAAAACTAATACCAAACAAATCCCCAGGGCCGGATGAAGTGTTTGCCAGGGTGCTTAAAGAATGCAAAGAAGAGCTTTCCGAGCCACTGTCTACAATATATAATAAATCAATAGAGTCAGGCAGAGTGCCAGAGTCATGGAAGGATGCTCATGTGATACCAATTTTTAAGAAAGGAGATAGATCACTTGCGTCAAACTATCGGCCAATTAGCCTAACGTCTATTGTGGGAAAGTTACTTGAATCTATAATTGCAAATACAATTCGTCTCCATCTTGAAAAACATAAATTAATAAATGAGTCGCAACATGGTTTTACAAATGGCCGTTCATGTTTAACAAATTAGCTAACTTTTTATTCTAGCATAGTTGAGGCAGTTGGCAGTGGTAAGGATTGTGATGTTGTGTACCTTGACTTTAGCAAAGCTTTTGATACAGTGCCACATGAAAGACTGATTAAAAAGATAGAGTCTCATGGTATTGGGGGTGCTATATTAAGCTGGATTAGGGCATGGCTATACCAAAGGAAACAGAGAGTTAGTATAAATGGAATCAAGTCAGAGTGGGAAAATGTTGTAAGTGGAGTGCCTCAAAGCTCTGTCCTGGGACCTCTGTTGTTTATAATATATATAAATGATTTAGATTCAGGTTTGAGTAGCAACATTTGCAAATTTGCCGATGATACGAAAATCGGTAGGGAAATTAATTCGGAGGAGGACTCACTATCACTTCAAGTTGATCTAGATAGGGTTTTGAAATGGTCAAAGGATTGGCAGATGCAGTTTAATGCTGATAAATGTAAAGTTCTGAGGTTAGGTAATGATGATAGAGTTACAAGATACGAGCTAGATGGTGTTGAGATTGCGAAGTCGGATTGCGAAAGGGATCTGGGAGTTATGATTAGTAAGAATTTAAAACAAAAGGATCAATGCATAAATGTTCGTAATAAGGCGAATAGGACACTTGGATTTATTAATCGCAGCGTTAGTAACAAGACACCTGGTGTGGTTCTCAAGCTATATCTTGCTCTAGTTAGGCCCATTTAGATTATGCAGTTCAGTTTTGGTCGCCATATTATAGAATGGATATAAATTCACTTGAACGTGTCCAGCGTAGGATTGACTAAGTTAATTCCCCAAATTAGAATTAATCTTTCATATGAAGAAAGATTAACAAAGCTTAAGTTGCATTCACTGGAAAGGCGAAGAGTTAGGGGTGACATGATAGAGCTTTACAAGTGGATGAATGGACATAACAGGAGGGATATTAATAGGATATTAAAAATATCAACACAATACAGAACACTAAACAATGGGTATAAATTAGATAAGTTTAGATTTAGGACAGACTTGGGTAAATACTGGTTCAGTAACAGGGTTGTTGATTTGTGGAACCAATTGCCGCGTAACGTGGTGGATGTGGGGTCCCTCGATTGTTTCAAGCGCGGGTTATATGAGTGGGATTGGGCGGTTATTGATAGGAGCTGCCTCGTATGGGCCAATAGGCCTTCTGCAGTTACCTTTGTTCTTATGTTCCTATGTAAAGGGCCTTGTCTAGTGACTTGTGAGCCGCTTCTTGAATCACTTTTGATACTCCAAGATTATTGATGTGTTTATTTGAGTGGGTGATTGAATATGTATGTGTATCTATATATGTATATATATGTACATGTGCTCACCTAGTTGTGCTTGCGGGAGTTGAGCTCTGGCTCTTTGGTCCCGCCTCTCAACCGTCAATCAACAGGTTTACAGGTTCCTGAGCCTATTGGGCTCTATCATATCTACACTTGAAACTGTGTTCAGCCTCCACCACATTGCTTCCTAATGCATTCCATTTGTCAACCACAACCACTCTGACACTAAAAAAGTTCTTTCTAATATCTCTGTGGCTTATTTGGGCACAGTTTCCACCTGTGTCCCCTAGTGCGTGTGCCCCTTGTGTTAAATAGCCTGTCTTTATCAACCCTGTCGATTCCCTTGAGAATCTTGAATGTGGTGATCATGTCCCCCCTAACTCTTCTGTCTTCCAACGAAGTGAGGTTCAATTCCCGTAGTCTCTCCTCGTAGCTCATACCTCTCAGCTCGGGTACTAGTCTGGTGGCAAACCTTTGAACCTTTTCCAGTTTAGTCTTATCCTTGACTAGATATGGACTCCATGCTGGGGCTGCATACTCCAGGATTGGCCTGACATATGTGGTATACAAAGTTCTGAATGATTCTTTACACAAGTTTCTGAATGCCGTTCGTATGTTGGCCAGCCTGGCATATGCCGCTGATGTTATCCGCTTGATATGTGCTGCAGGAGACAGGTCTGGCGTGATATCAACCCCCAAGTCTTTTTCCTTCTCTGACTCCTGAAGAATTTCCTCTCCCAGATGATACCTTGTATCTGGCCTCCTGCTCCCTACACCTATCTTCATTACATTACATTTGGTTGGGTTAAACTCTAACAACCATTTGTTCGACCATTCCTTCAATTGTGTAACTAGCGTCAAAAGATTGTTATTTGCTTAGCTAAATGAACTAAAATGAATGTTTAGTTGCATTCACGGGAAAGGCGAAGAGTTAGGGGTGACATGATAGAGGTTTACAAGTGGATGAATGGACATAACAGGGGGGATATTAATAGGGTATTAAAAATATCAACACAAGACAGAACACGAAACAAAACTTATCTAATTTATCTATAAATTAGATAAGTTTAGATTTAGGACAGACTTGGGTAAATACTGGTTCAGTAACAGGATTGTTGATTTTGGAACCAATTGCCGCGTAACGTTGTGGATGTGGGGTCCCTCGATTGTTTCAAGTGCGGGTTGGACAAGTATATGAGTGGGATTGGGTGGTTATAGATAGGAGCTGCCTCGTATGGGCCAATAGACCTTCTGCAGTTACCTTTGTTCTATGTTCTTATGTTATGTTAACTAGAGGGTTCAGTTCCTGAACCGATTATGTGCCTCTGTAACCCTTTACACCATCGTCCACAGGATGGGGAGCATAATAAAGAAAAGAAATTAAATCTATGATTTCCTTCTCCTCTCCTCTATCTTGCCTATTTATTGTCAAAAACATCAAATTCCGTCATCAAAATCGCCTTGAGAATGGTACAGGACGGACCGAAACTCTCTAGTGTGTGGTTTGGTTAACATCAAATCTAACTCTACGTCCTTGCTTAACCGTCAACATTGACACTGGGCCCCACGCGTCTCCTGATATCACCACTTGTGCAGTTATCAGGAGGAGGACACCTTCTCACATACTGAACCTATCATAAAGAAGATGGAGACTCACCAATGTCCAGAGTGTGGAAAGGTATTCAGTTGTGTTGGAAATATGAAGAAACACATGTTAGTGCATTCAGGTGATAGGCCTTATGAGTGTCCAGAGTGTAGGAAGAGATTCAGGCGTCTTGGTACAATGAAGATTCACATGCTTGTGCATTCAGGTGACAAACCTTTTGAGTGTCCAGACTGTGGAAAGAGATTCAATCGTCTTGACACAATGAAGACTCACATGTTAGTGCATTCAGGTGAAAAACCTCATGAGTGTCCAGAGTGTGGGAAGATATTTAATCGGCATGGATATATGAAGAAACACATGTTAGTGCATTCAGGTGATAAACTTCATGAGTGTCCAGAGTGTGGGAAGAGATTCAAACGTCTTGGCAATATGAAGACTCACATGCTTGTACATTCAGGTGAGAAACCTTATGAGTGTCCTGAGTGTGGGAAGAGATTCACACGTCTTGACTATATGAAGACTCACAGGATGATGCATACAGGTGAAAGACCTTTTGAATGTGCCGGGTGTGGCAAACAATTAAGAACACGTGAATCTATAATAAGTCACATGCTTGTACATTCAGGTGACCAACCTTATGAGTGCCCTGAGTGTGGGAAGAGATTCACACGTCTTGGCTATATGAAGACTCACAGGATGCTGCATACGGGTGACAAACCTTATGAGTGTCCAGAGTGTGGGACGAGATTCAAACGTCTTGAATATATGAAGAAACATATGGTAGTACATTCAGGTGCTAAACCTCATGAGTGTCCAGAGTGTGGAAAGAGATTCAATCATCTTGTAGGTTTGAAGACTCACAGGTTGGTGCATACAGGTGAAAGACCTTATGAATGTGCCGAGTGTGGCAAAAAATTTAGAACACGTGGAGCTATAATACGTCACCTTTTTGTGCATTCAGGTGATAAACCTTATGAGTGTCCAGAGTGTGGAAAGAGATTCAATCGTCTTGACTCTATCAAGACTCACAGGATGATACATACCCAGTGAAAGGCGTTTTGAATGTTCCGAGTGTGGCAAACAATTTAGAACACGTGGAGCTATAATGCGTCACATGCTTGTGCATTCATATCCTCGTCCTCTATGAGTGTCTAGAGTGTGGGAAGAGATTCAAGCTGTTTAGACATGTGAAGCAGCACAAGATGATACATTCAAGCTATAGGCTGAACACGTCGATTGCGGAAGATAATTGAGAGAATGTTGAGGAATAATGGGGCACATATTAGTAAATTAATTTATCTTTAATACAGTTTAGAAATTGAGCTTCATCATGAAAATATTGTGGTGGTCGTGAAAAATATCACGATATCAGTTGCATATCCTTCGGATGCAATTGTCTCAAGTTTAGTTTGAGAAATGCGCCTCATCATGAAAAGTAAAGATCTAGAGCCATATTATTATTTTCTTCTTCTATGATAGACACCCTCTTACACCAAGCAAAAGCTAGAGGTGTTAGTGTTGAAGTTAGGTGCTCCTCATAGTGCCAAAGAGAGGTGTTAGTGTACAACAACTCAAGATTGTTCAAAGTTAAATAAATATTTGTATATCTTAACAAAGATAACACAAGTTTTAACTGTTTTTCATTCATATATTCATGTGTAAGGTTTTTCTGTTTTTGTTCCCCCTAGAACCTTATTTAACATATAATCTTTGTAGTCAGACATTTTGTTGTAATATTATCTAACATTGGATGTTGAAAGCAGTATGAGATGTGTACAAAATTAAACCATTTAATTTGCAGGAGAAATATAAATTTATTAGAATGAAGGAATTAAATGCTTATCAAACTACAATGTAATTTCATGTCTATTATGTGTTTTGCTTATTTATTTATTTATTTGTATACAAGAAGGTATATTGGATTTATTTATTTGAGTTTTACTACTCTTGATTAGAAATCTAAATCACTTGAGAATTATGGTAGCCTAACTGGCAATTATAACTGTTCGAGTTTGATTTTTTTAGCCTATCTTTAGCAGTTAGGTTTTTTTTCCCTAACTAACAATTATATTTGATTGAATGGCAGTTATATTAGCCTGATTTGTAATTATGTCAGCCTGACTTGAAATTACGTGAACCTTACTGGTAATTATGTTAGCCTGAATAGCGATTATGTTCCTGGAAATTCATCCGAGATGTTTAGTTCAGTTCAACGAGCCTTTCTCGATCTCCGTAACCAGCATTTAATCTGAACTGTACTCACCTAATTGTGCTTGCGGGGGTTGAGCTTTGGCTCTTTGGTCCCGCCTCTCAACTGTCAATCATATCGGGCTCTAATCATATCAGTGACCTCATCACTGGTGAGGTCAAATTCCTCCAAGGTTGCTTGGTTTGCCGCCTCCTCATTTAGTGCAGGGGCTTCTCCTTGTTCTATTGTGAAGACCTCCTGGAATCTCTTGTTGAGTTCTTCACACACCTTGTGTATCTGTTCTCCCCTTTCCGCAGCTTCATCACTTGTTCCATCACTGCTGTTTTCCTCCTGATATGGCTGTGGAGCAGCCTTGGTTGGGTCTTGGCTTTACTCGCGATGTCATTTTCAAACTGTCTCTCTGCTTCCCTCCTCACTCTGATGTACTCATTTCTGGCCCTCTGGTATCTCTCCCTGCTCTCTGGTGTTCTGTTATTTCTGTAGTTTCTCCATGTTCTTTTACTCAGTTGTTTCGCTACCTTACATTCCTGGTTGAACCATGGGTTTTTCTGTTGTTTTTCGTTTTTCTCCTTTTGGACGGGGATAAACCTGTCTGCAGCTTCCTGGCACTTTTGGGTGACAATATCCATCATGACCTGCACATTCTTGTCTCTAAGTTCTGTTTCCCATGGTATTCCCCTGAGGAAGTTCCTCATCTCGTCATATTTTCCTCTTCGGTAATTCAGTCTTTTCCCCTCCACTCCCATCCTTGGATTGGTTATCCCTACCTCCACCAAGTACTCAAAGGTCAGTACACTGTGGTCACTCATTCCTATGGGGGCTTCAACTTTGACTTCCCTTATTTCTGATTCATTCAGGGTGAATATTAAGTCGAGTCTAGCTGGTTCATCATTGCCTCTCAATCTTGTGGGTTCCTTGACATGCTGGCTCAGAAAATTCCTTGTTGCCACTTCCAAGAGTTTAGCTCGCCACGTATCTGCACCACCATGTGGGTCCCCATTCTCCCAGTCTATCTTTCCATGGTTGAAATCACCCATGATTAAGAGTCTTGAGCCATTCCTGCAGGCAACTGAAGCTGCTCTCTCTATTATATTAATGGTTGCCATGTTGTTCCTATCAAACTCCTGTCTAGGTCTTCTGTCATTTAGGGGAGGGTTGTAAATGACTATCACTATTATCTTAGGTCCACCCATTGTTATAGTTCCTGTTATGCAATCTCTGAATCCGTCACAGCCTGGAATTTCCATCTCATCAAAACTCCAGTCCTTCCTTATCAGCAGGGCCACTCCTCCACCTCCTCTCCCTTCCCTCTCTTTCCTTACTATATAGTAGTCCTTTGGAAACACAGCATCTGTTATGACTCCTGACAATTTTGTTTCTGTTAGTCCTATTACATCAGGGTTTTCTTCTTGCACCCTTTCTGCCAGTTCACTTGCTTTATTGGTAATCCCATCAATGTTTGAGTACATTACCTTGAAGCTCACTTTCTTATATCCAATTTCACCCACACTCCCTACAAGTGTAGGAGGTTGTTCTATGGTCATTGCTACTTGGGTAGGCTCCTCCTCCTGTGAGGTAGTTGCCAGGGGTTCAGTGGGGGGTGGAGGGCTTAGGTCTTCCTCAGGCCTGCTTGGGTCAGGAAGAAGTCCTGGGGGTGAGGGAGCAGGGATTGCTTGGGGAGAGGGCACGCCCTCCTGCGGTGTAGTAGACAGGGGTTTGGAGGGAGGTGGAGTGGGGGATAGAGGGCTTTGGTCTTGCTCAGGCCTGCTTGGGGCAGGGAGAAGACCAGGGGCTGGGAAAGCAGGGGCTACTTGGGGTAAGGGGAGGGGGAGGATTTGGGTTTCATGATGGGCATTATGCAGGGGCAAGGAAGGGTTTGTGCTGGGGGGTATGTATGTCTGGGGGAAGATTATTGAAGCTAGAGGTGGTTGCCCAAGCATCGACTAACTCGTTTGCTCTGTGTAGAGGGTGAGGGTGTGCTACTTGGCCGATCTTATCGCCTTTAATTCTTTTAATATCCTTCCATGCCTGGCTGAGGGGGGTGTGAGAGTTGAGACTGTTAACAAAAGTTTCCCAGTTATCTTGTCTGAGCTGTCATGCGCTCCCTCGCCTTGGCTAGGGCTTTCTGAAAGAGCTTGAGCATTGCTGGCGTACGTGTTTCCCTATATGCAAGCCCAACTCGTCTGGCAGTGCGTTTCATAGTACGCAGTTTGGGGTCATTGTAATAGGCATGGCGTTTATTACCTTTCATATCGTTCCGACTATTGGATGGTGCAGGGGGCCCGACCTAAAGGGTCAGCAAACATCTGAATGCTCTGTACTAGACCGTCTGGACTGCATCCGAGATGCTGTGTGGCCTGTGTTAGCCTAACTGGCAATTATGTTATCCTGTCTAGTAATTATCATATCCTGGAACTAGCAATTATCTTATCTATAGTTTTATAATTCTGTAACTGGTAATTTTGTTAGCCGTGTGGGGAATCGACCTTATGTTAATGTAATTTATATGAATTCCATATGAATTTATATGGAATTTATATTTACGTTAAATATTTCTATAGCAAATTGAATGAGGTTTAAGGGTCTGTATTTCATAGAATTCCCACATATCGACTCCGTTATGTGGAATTTATGGATTTATATATGTAGTTAGTCAATACTACAGTATTAAAATACATATATTAGTAATTAAAAATGGGAGGCCTTATCTTATATGGCGGATTTTGTCCTAAACAACGAGTAGGAATACAAAATTCAAAAGTTCAAATTCTAATTTTTAATCAGGTAAAAGTACACACATAGATGAACAGTTGGATTTATACATAGAGCTAGTACATTAATCATCGAGAAGAAACGAAGGAGGAGACCAATATTAACATGACCTCGTCGTGGAAAGTCATTAAGGACAGGGGTCTTAAGAAGACCTTGACAAGGCCGCCTACAGACGCCCTGAGGACGTCAAACTCATTTGCCGTGTTGGAAGACGAGTGCTATGGTGAGCCTTTGAAAGAAACGAAGAACAACGAAGCACAGGCCCCTCAGTGCTTCGTTGTGCTCAGAAAGTTAAGGTACCTAAGCGAATTTTGGTTGTGGGAGATTCCCAGGTGAGGTATTTAGACAGGACGTTTTGTGCCAGAGATAGGGGGAACCGGTTAAGGGTTTGCTATCCGGGAGCTGGAATTGGAGATATTGTAGACAACATGAAAGATATTATGACAGGAAATGGGAACAAACCCGTAATTTGTATTAGTGCAGGGGATAATGATATTAGACGAGTTAGGAGTGAGGAACTTATACAGAAATTTTACAAAGCCATAGAATTAGTTAGGAGCAAGGGAGGAATCCCGATCATATGTGGCATTCTTCCAAGAAAGAGCGTTGGGAATGAATGGTTGTCGAGGGCACTTGGTGTAAATTGCTGGCCGGAAAGATATTGCAAATCAAATTCAATATCTTTCATAGTCAACTGGGAACACTTCTATGGAAGAAGTGAAATGTATGCTCGTGATGGAGTGCATCTATCGAGGGCTGGGGTTGTTTGTTACTGTTGCGAACTCGTTGGAACCAGTGGTTACAGGCATTTAAATAAAATAAATAAATAAATGTTTATTTAGGTAAGGTACATACATACAAGAGATTTTAGAAAGAATGATG